GCAGGCTTTTGTGTTAGTTTGAGCATGTGCATGAGAAGATGAGAGACTGATTACATTTCTTAATAATCATAGAATCACAGAATAGTTTGGGCTGAAAGGAGTAACATCTAGTTCCAGTCCTCTAACATGGACAGGGACACCTTCCAGTGGATGAGGCTGCTCAAAGCTGCATCCCACCTGGCCTTGAACACAACTGGGAAAGGAGCATCCATTCAGTTTAAGGCCATTCCCCCTTGTTCCATCATTACATGCTCTTGTGAAAAAAACCATCCTGACATTCTTTCTGTAACGTTAGAGATTGTCCTGATGGTACATAAAGGTATTGGGATGTGGCCCAATATCCAGGTACAGCTTCCGTGTTCCCCCTTTACTTACAGAACTGGGTGGATTCCCATGATACCTGTGAATGCTGTAAAATCTCACAACACCCAAGAAGCTCATGCTAGGAAAGTTGCATTGGAGAATTAATTAAGGGTAAAAAAATCCCTTGTGATGATTTATGATGCCTCTTTTTCTACCATTATTATTCTCTCAGTCATTATTAATCTCCCAGTTGCCATTAGAAATGCTGATAGCTTAGGAATACCAACCACATCTCCATCAGTAACACAAGCATTCCAGAGTTTCTGACCAAACTTGAGCAGCCTAAGGCAGGCCAACAGTGGCCTTCCTCTGTGAGGTGGGGAACTTGGACTGGCACAGCTTGAGTGAGTTATTTTAAGTTTTGGGTATTTGCATTACTGGCCTTCAGTTTCTTGTTTCACGTGTTACTGTTTTAGTGACATTGGACAATACATAAGGGTAATCTGTTACACACGTGAGTTCTGGGATCGTCTTTTTTTTTGCATTTTTGTTTAAGGGGCCCTGTTGTTAACATGATGCCTGTCAAAAAAAAATTCTTTCTCCAGTTAATAAGCACAATATTTTTGTGTAATCTCAGGGGTTTCTTGAGTGGTACTAGGTGAAATGTCTGAAGTAGAAGAACTATTCGAAATTTAATTTGAAATTAAGTGTTCAAAAGTGAACAATGCAAAAGCTGCTGAGAGGATTTGAAATCTCAGACTAGATTTAATGAGGAAGAATGTTATCTGCAAGGATAAAAACCTGAGACCTTTCTAGAGGGTGAATAAAATCATCATGGCTGAAGAGAGACTTAACATTTTGGAAGATCATACATAAGATATTAGCTTAGGAAAAACATAAACAAAGGAGTAAATGTACTTTAGAAACCTCTTTATTTTAGTAAGTCATTATAGAGAAGTTTGGAATTATACCGCCCATTACTTGATCTCACATCTGAATCTTTTCTGGTGATTTACAGAAAGATACAGAGTGAAAATTGAGAGCCCATTAAATTAATTGAAATGTTGCTATTTAATTCTATCTGTTTTCCTACTCTTGCTACTAAAAGATAAAGAGGAAAACAGTGATAGAAGTCTGGGAAAGCCCTCTTAAAATACAGAAATACCACAGAGACTTTATCTACATTCACACTGAATATGAAAGGAAGTTCAGAATAATATTTTTCTCTCTTGGTTTAAAAGAGGGCAAATGCCACCTGAAGCATAATGTATAAAAGTATGGCACAGAGAAAAACCATAATATACTTAACTTTTCATTTTTTCTAGGGTATGTTTAAATAAGAAAATCAAGCAGTTTTAATATACTCAGAAGTGGTTCTCAACAATTGCAAACTTTTCTTAGGACTCTGATTTCACTCCAAGAAGGATTTATTTTCATTTATCTTACACCTGTTCCTAACAAGTTAAACTACACTGAAATAATGTGCCTGCCTGCCTTCCCTACCTCCTAGGGAAACACAGCCAGGAAGGGCTGCTTTAGACAATGGACACATTCTTTCCTTCCCTATTTTCAGCTGAGGAGTTAAGGATGGAGTTTTGGTGGGAGTTGTGGGTGTGAAGAGTGAAGAAGATGTAAGAAATACCAGCAGCCTAGGAAAATTCCCTTCAGCTGTTTTTCAAACAGGTTCCAGTGCATTTTCTGCTCCCCTTTTTCTCCACCTTTCTTCCCTTTAGGGACAACCTCATCCCTGCCCTCCAGATAGAAGGGCATGCACGAATAGGTAACTCCTTTGGACCAGTGCTTTTAAAAATGGAAAAGAGAACTATGCTACTTCATCTCTCGTGTTCAGAGGGGAACAGAGACCCTCAGTGGGACAGAGGGCTCCCAGCAGTGCAGGGCAGAGACTGTGCTCTGCTGGCAAGACTGAATTAATTTAATAGCTGGAATAAGTAGGAATAAGAGCAGGAGCAAGTCACTGAATTTTTTAAAACAGTGTCCTATTAGAAGTGGTGGAGGGTGACTAAAACCCCCAGTAAGCATTTTAATAATTTCTGAATCAAATGTGTAATTCCCAGTATTTGGGTGACCTTATTCTTTTTTAAGTTCTAAGAATGATTTTCAGGGGCATTCACTGCTCTTCTAATGATCTCTAGCTTGCTGCTAGTCAGTCACCACCAAATAAAAGTGGCTGTTCCGTTGCTGCTCTGCTCACAGCCACTGGGACAAGTCAAGATCACCCTGCCACCGTGTTAGTCACCAGGGACACTGCTTCTTCAGCACAGTCTGTATTGCTCAAGACATTCCAGCACCTTCTGTGTTAGCCTTGGATCCACATAAACACAACTAAATATAGAAAGAAGTTTGCTTTAGGTGGGTACATGGGTGCTAAGTGTCTATGCTAGCAGTATAGTCAATCAAGATCTAGGGTTTCGTTCAGCAGAGTACAGAGAGGTGCCTGTCTCCTGTTTCACGATATTCCCTGCTTCTCAGTCACTGCTCCTGAAGAGTACAGCTTTTCCAGGTCCAAGACCAGAGCTGCCAGATCTAAGGGATATCTCAGATACCTTAAGGCATCTCAAATGGCACTGGACAAATAAATTTGGGCAGCTGAATTAAGCCTTTCTTGTGCCAAGCCCAGAGTGTGAGGCAGCTGAGCAGCCAGCAGAAGCCTTCCTGAGGATTAGCTGCACCTCTCTCAGTTGGCATGATTACCTTGTGCTGCTTGAGGAGTTTAGACACCTGCTTCACATGTAGACACCTAAATTTAAATATTTTCACGTGGAGCTCAATCCAATTCCATCTATTTTTCTGATCTCCGTTAGAATTTGTGACGTCCTTAGCTTTTCCTAGTCAGTTTTCCTTTCTGAATTCTCACCCAGACCTCCTGCATCTGGTGTTGTGAGCTTGAGATTTGTACTTTGCAAAGACACCTTGTTCACTTTTGGCTCTTCTTCATCTCTGAACTTGCTGGATTTAGAAGCAAATCCAGCATTTTTGGGAGCCAGTTATGTAGTAGCCACCTATGATCCACATATGTAGTAGCCAAAAGCACTTTAAAATGTCAGAGCATTGAAACAGGCAGAAGGTCAGCCTAGGCCAACACAGGATGTCAAAAAGAGACACCAGCCAACAGTGAACAGCCAGGGAGGATTGCACAAGCAGGGCAAACACACAGTGATATTTCTCTACAAGAGTTTCTCAGCCCCCAGCATCCTGCTACTTGAAGATATCCTGAGCCAGAAATGGGCTTTTGGTATTAATTAGCCCAGGATTAAATCTTCTCCTATAAGACCATCCAGCTGGCTTTAAACCTATGTAGATTTCTAGCCTCTTGTGACAAAAATTTCCACAATTTAGCAGGACAATCTTTTAACCACAGAAACATGTTGTCTACACCCTTGGAATTGTAATAAGAGAACAAAGACATCCACAGGTGAGTTCAAAGACACCCAGTATGTTTGTAGGCAAGGAGGGGTATTCAGACCTCATCTTCCTTTGGTGGCAGAGCAGAATGAACAAAGTCTATTTCCTGCTGAACTACAGCAGGCTAAGGAAAATTGAGTGTAGGCACAGTCAGTATCTCTCACTGCTTGCCTGTAGAGGTGGGGGGCTTCACTTTCTGGGTCATTCTTGTAGGAGCTGAGTAGGAACAAGATATGTGTTTCTACCCAACACAACATAAGTAAAACTCATATCAACAAGAACCTGCTTTCAATTATTCACCAACAAACATGGATTTAGATTATCCTTGCGTAGAAACATACAAACACCATAAAACCCTAAGATTAAAATCAGGTATTTCTTATAAGGGCTTTTTAAGCTTTTAAACTTTGCCAGGGAATTAATCATGAAGTGAGGAAGAACAGAGCTTGTTCTGTGCTTTTTTACTCCATGCATAACAGCATGTCTATCCCAATCATTGTAAAAAAACATTATGCCTTCTCACAGCATCCATGTGCCATCACTCTACTGCTTCTCCTCCTCTCTCCTTAAATGCTGTTCTGGCTCTAAGGACAGCTGGCTGATTAGTTTGTTCACACCAAAGTCACTATCAAGTTTGAATCTGTGACCTGAAGAAATAAATCCTAACACTTGCTGAGCTTCAACTAACTTTCCATGCTTCCAGCTGAAGAAATGCTTCTGAGTACCCAGTGCTGTATTTCCTCCCTTCCAGTAAATGGTACACCAGTGGAGTTGTGTCCAGAAACTACATTCCTCAAACACACACACAGTGTCTGTTCTCATAGGAAATTAGTAGTGTGCTTGTAAGTCTGATTTTACCAGACTCTTACCTCTAGCCCTGCCCTATTTTTTACTTACTTTAGTTTTCTTTTTTGTCTTTGCACAGAAAGGTTGTTATGGAAAGAGAGATAAAGGGGAAAAGTTCTAATCCATCTACTGATTTGTACAGTTTGCTACATCAGGTTTCAAAGCTTCTACATAAGGTTTCTTCAACACTGCTCTTTTTATCCATACGCTTTGAAAATTGCAACCCTCACCTTTTACCCTGAAGACTCCCAAGGTAGTTTTTTACACCAGCCCTGATCTCACACCCCTATCTCAAACAAGAATCTCTGGGCTGGATTCCCATCCACTATAGGAGTCTCTCTTTTGTCCTTCTAATTCAGCTCACATAGATGTATGTATTATTTACTGATACTTGGACATTAATGCTTTCTGTAATGTATTTCTTTCAGACATCATTGTTCTCATCGCTTCAATAGCAGTTGTTTCTGCAAAAACTCAAGGTAACATTTTTGCAACATCAGCACTGAGAAGTCTTCGTTTCCTACAGATCCTTCGTATGGTGCGCATGGACCGAAGAGGAGGCACTTGGAAATTATTAGGTTCTGTAGTTTATGCACATAGCAAGGTATGAAATCCTAGATACTAATTTTGTCTGGCTGATATCCTCACTTGACGTGATTCAACAAGAGACCAAGGAAATAAGCATTTATCAGTTTTGAGAAGAGCACCCAAAATTTTCTGAAGTAACATCAATTGTTATATGAACTAACACAGATACACCAGGCCATGTTTAATGCTAACTGTTTTTAGAGATCTTGAAAATGTTGTCCTTGATGTGCAGCTGTAGTTTGTTATCTGTTGGGGTCATTGCTGAAGCATCAAACCATAAGAGTAGATCTTGTCCACTTTCAGAGAAAATTTCAGAAAATTCAGAGTGCATCCATGGGGAAGCACTTGACTTATAGCTGCACAAATGCCAAAAAACATATATATAGATATTTTCGTTATGTCTTCTTGAAATGTCATTCTATTCAGTTCATAAAATAGGAATTGATCTCTGCTCTCTTTCATCTAGGAATTAATCACAGCCTGGTACATAGGATTTTTAGTACTCATCTTTTCATCTTTCCTGGTTTATTTGGTGGAAAAAGATGCAAATACCGAATTCTCCACATATGCAGATGCTCTCTGGTGGGGCACAGTAAGTACAGAAAAATAGCATGGACTCTTTAACCAGTGTGCTAAAGTGCTTTAAATTTCACCTAGTGAGGATTTTAACTTAGTGTGATGTTCAGTGAATTGTTTTCACTGACAAAAAACTGGTTTGAGAAGCTTCCTCCTACAGCTATTCATTTGCACACCAACAGATATTTCAGTTCATCCTGCAGAACAGCTGTTTATGTGTTTCTACTGCAAACAGACCACTAAACCTTCAAGAGAAGAAAGCATTGTACTCTTTAACCCATAGCCTTTCAGTAACATAGTTTGTATTATGGCCCCACAAAGCTGTTTTGATACAAACCAGAGGGCTGTAAGGGGCAGTGCAGGAGAGGAAAAAGTGTCAGAAAAAAGAGGGGGAAAAAAAATCTTACATCAAATTTGGCGTGAATACCATCAGTGCCCACAAAAAGATGTTGTTTCTCCTTCCTCTGTACCTTGAAGAAAAAGACCAAGAACAAATATGTCAGTTCTGGTTCAGCAGTGTTATTTTTTACAGGTATAAAAGCCCTGACTTACTTGAGATCATGGTTAACTATCAAATCAATTGTTTTTACTTTGTTGAAATCTGTGGGATCTAAGTACATGCCCGACTGCTTTTCTGAAGGAGGATTATAAGAATATGGTTAAAGAAACTAGGCTTTCAATGAACAACAAAAGGCTAGGTTTGAATTTTATTTTTTTAATGGCATAATGTGTAGGGGTTTTTGCTTAAAAATGTCCTATAGTAATCCAGACTTCTCCACTTTGTGAGGCTTACTTAGGCAGCTTAAGAAATCTGCTCCTACAACAAAGCCTAAGGCAGTTATTGTCAGGCAGTATAAAACTGTTTTTCTTTTCCTTCTGATGCAGTAGAACACACACAGTTTGCTCTGACAGTGTCTGGGTAGTGAAATGATACCTGGGAGATCATTAATGCTGACAATAACATAGAGAACTCATTAGTTTCCTCGGAATAAGTGTGAGACCTGAGCCAGCCTCTGCCACCTTTCCTTATCAGAGGAATGCAAAAATGAAGCTTTGTCACCTCAGACCTTCTGGTGACAGGATTTCTTCTAGATTTAGTAGTATCTGCAGACTCAGAGCACGCACACAGGAACTGTGCAAAAGCCCTTTCCAGAATATAAATTATTTCCAGAATAATAAATTATTGAAAATATTTGTAAGAAGTTTTCTCTGCATTTTGAGCTAAGGTCAACGTCACTCACTATTACTAGGGGTAGTTAGTGTATTTGGAATTTGTTCATCTAAGGGCTAGTCATTTGTTGCATGTCTTCCCTAGAGTCTACGTTTCTATGTTATCACTGCACAAAATTGGGAGCTTGGAAAAGCCAAACCTAGTAAGTTTTATGTGTACATCTGCAAACATTCAGAAATGTATTTTGCTGAAACTTGTTGCTTTAGCGCATCAAGGCAGATTTCTGATAAAATATACATTTTATCCTGCAGTACAAACACACATAAAATTTATATTGGCTAAAGTCACGAGAGGAGGTTTTGCATTCAGTTGTATCACTGTAGTTTGTTTCCTGTTCCTTCAAAAGCTGAGTTCTGGGTTTGCCTTAAAGTTTTCTAACCTTCCCGTATTGACACAGTGGTGAAGTATCTGGCACTGGATGCTGATGTCCTCACTGATGGGTACCCCAGCCCTGGCAACCTGGAAACACCATTGCCCTTTTAGGGTGGCAGTGGGGTTGTGGTCCTGCAAGAGACCCTACTGTGGCTGTGCACGTTCTTGGGAATGGATCTTTTCAGATGTTTGATTTCCCAGGAAACAGTCTCTATCTCTCTGCAAGGCCCTGCATGCCTTAGCACTGCACAGGCAGGGAGTCTGGGCTGAGCAGAGCATTGGACCCACCTGCCAGCTGGAATAGGGAAATGTATGCACGAGGAATGAGAAAGTCCTAGCAAACTCAGAGCTCCATTCTGGCATCTGACTGAGGCTCACCTCAGATCCAGATCCTTCTCCTTGAGCAGCTCTAGCAGCAAGAAAATGACCTTTATTTTAGAATTTGCTTCTCCACTACCTGCTGACTGCTATTTTTTAAGGAAAAACCCTGATAGGAAATAATCATGGTATAAAGTGGTGCTTAAAATATTTTGTACACTATGAAGTGAAAGTGCATGACTCAGAGGTTATATAAGTAGTGCAACTGAGAAAATCAGGAATCTTGTCTTGATTTCAGCAGGAAAAACAACAAATCTTATTTTAAAAACTGAAAACAATGTATATTTCTATATATTTTCTTCTTTCCCCAGTGTATGACATGAATATATATAAGTTTTTAATGCACTTAAGCAAATGCACAAAGTTACTAGAAATCAGTGTTCCCCCTTACCTGTTATCTTTGCCATTTTAATAATAGTATTTTTTTTACAATATGTAAAACAGTATGTGGGAAATGCATGATGTGCTTCTTAGTCATGGTTGTTTTTACTGCCAGAGTAACCCACACGGAGATTTTTGAAAAGGACAGACTGTATGGCATTTTAGGGGAAATCAACGCTTAGTCTCATTGGTTTGTTTATTTGCAAAAGTTGTTCTGACTTAAACCACAGATTATCTACCAAACTCTGGACTGAATTTTGTCATGGCAGAAGCACAAGAAAGAAAAGGCTGCATCAAAGTCAGGCACAAATAGTCACCCTAAATTTCAATCTTTTAGAGGCACTTATGCTTCTCCTTACAGGATCAGCACTAGCATGCTCCAATTAACCCCTTCATTAATTCAGATTATTTGAGGACTGCTATGGTTATTTCACTGACTCCATTTCTGAACCCCATATTTATATACAGAAATGAAAGGCAGGATATGGCATCCAAATTTGCATATGAATACTCAACTGTATTTGCAATTTCATGCTGTACTGTGCAACCTGCTATTGAATCATCATGTTAATATTACTACTATGAATATTCTTGTGGTTGGGGTCTCCACAGTGTTGCCTAACACAACAGCAGATAATGGTGAGTGTTATATGAAGAGCTCAAGTTCATAACTTGCTTTGGTAGAGAAAATAAATTCATTCTTCATACAGAAGAAAATAATAAAACTATATGGGAACAAAAGGTCAATTAAAAAACCTAGGTATTTAAGAACCGAACCATGCATGGTTTTCTGAGATATACTGATGTTAACTAGAACTGTGGATATGTACAGTGACATTTAGTTTGTACATTAATTAGCTTTAGCTGCAAATGTAATGCAGCTGAAGTTTCTGTCCCTTAATAAGTCTTTATTTTCTAGTAATAACCAATAGTTACAGTTGGAAACAGAATGGCTCTGGCACTCCACAGTGACCTGTTAGTGAAAAAAACATATTACAATCAATTACATTGTCACAATGACTAGCTCAAATGAGTTAACATTGACGACATTTTTCCCATTTAATGTAATGATAGCATGAGCAAACTACATTTTTTTCATTTAAGTGATGTCAGGTAAAGATTCAAAAGGTAAGTACTGCTAGGAGAACATAAAATTACATCAGAAAGAAATATTAGGGTAGAGAATGGCCTCCTGAGTCCTATCTCATCTAATTGAAGTCATCTAAGTCATATCATCACATTCATTATTATATTACCTCATTTATATTAGCATATTTATTAGCTCCAGCAATGAGATAACAGATGTTCTATCATCATTGTGAGTTTTGAGCCTGGCCAGATGACACTACCTACTTTGGCTACTTTGTCCAGACTCCTCATTTATAGAAGTAACCCAAATTGAGTGGTTTGCATCTGGTGTAAAAGACAGGACTCAGCTAGCTCATTTAGCCATACAGGAGTGTGATTCAGCTGCTTAAACATAGAGGCATACAGCACCATCAAAGGTCTGTTGGACAGTCTGCTGCTTCTCCTGTGGGTGGTCCCGGTTCAGACATCCTAGTACATCTCTGGTGGTACTAGACTTTTTTTTTCAGACAAGCCCATGTCCTACATTTTAGGATAGGATGAGTTACCTTTGAACTTTGTCACTTCTTTCTTACTCCACGCAATACTAGCTGTAACTTCTGTCTGCTTCTCACGTGATTATCAGTGATGTCTGGAAATTTCTTATGTTGTCAAATTTTCACATCCAGTCATTTTTCACACCCTGCTCAGTTAATTTAATCTCAGGATTGTGCCAGTCAGGGCCTGGCCAATGGTTTAGTCACTCAGTAGCAGCACTTACAGCAGTGGATTATTCCCAAACTTGACCCTGAAGTTGTCCAGAAAAACATTTTTGTAGTTGTGTGGTAAGAGTAGTATAAAATGAAGATCAACCCCCTTTGCTCAGTGTTGAGTAAGACAGTACAGCATGGTGCTGACACCTGTACACCCTTGTAAAGACCATCCTAAGATAAAATAGCTCAAAGTGAGCAAGAAGCCGCTGATATTCTTAATCACGGACTGATACCATTAAGTCCTTAGTACCTAGAAGAATTGAGGGAAAGGCTTTAATAGGGTCTTGTTATTTTCTCTGGAGAAATTCCAGAGATACACTCTGTGTGACTGCTCCTGGTTTTGGATTGCTCTCAGATGTCAGGTCCCAAAGGTTCAAGTTTATCTCTGACTTCTTTGGAATACAGTTCGGTGGCAGTATCATTAATATGCAGATGACGCTTGGTTCTGTTTCCCTCTCATCAGCCCAGACAGGAGATATCTCTGTACTTTCCAGTGACTGTCAGAGATAGGGATCTGGATGGAAGCCAAGAAAGTGGCTCATTCCAGAACTCCAAACTGCTTTGCAATAATTGGCCTGGAAGCAAATTTTGAGGAACTTTTATTCAGGGATTCATTTGTTCAAGTGTTTCATTCCTCTTGGGCTCTTAATAGCCTCAAACTGTTCTGCAGTTGCCCTCTGATGTGAAGAGCTGTGATTATCTTCTTCAGCAAACAAATCAATCCCCTCTGCCAGACCAAGACCATGGCTGCACCAGCTCATCTCTGCCAGAAAAGAGAGAGTTGCATCTTCATCTTCCTTCCTCCTTCATACTCCATCTCAGTCTCTCGCTGCCTTGTGCAGGCTCTGGAGCTCGTTAGGCACGTCTGTGAGCTGACACAACGGACCAAAGCGGCAGAAACAAACCACGCAGAAATGTGGATCATTTTCTGTCCCTTCCTGGGTGGCACTGGCTTTCCACAGAGTCCAGAAAAGGCTCAGAAGAGGAGATAGGGCAGGGAAGGGAAGAGGAGCAAGGAAGAGTGAGACCTGATAGGCACCTGTAAGGTGGTGTGTCTGTGACCAGGCTAGTGTTACAAAACTTGAGACTTGATAACCACTTGAAATTTCAGCTGCAGTCTGAATTCATCTCTCTTTCTTAGTCTCTGTGGGTTTCTCAGGGTAAATTACACTCTCAGCTTGTTCCCAACAATGGGAGCAATTAAAAGCACTGTTTACTATCTACAGAGTCCTAAATAGTTGAAATCTAATTACTTCCAAAAGACTTTCCTTCTTTTGTCCCGTGGTGACCCTGACATTAAATAGAATTGTTTTGGCCGTCTTGCCTAGGAATGAACTTTGAGGAAGCTGGAAGCAAAATAATGTCTCTAGAAGGCAATTTCCTGAAGAATCTGTTGCTGCCAGAATATTTGCTAAGCCTGAACTTGCCCACATTTGGTACACGATGTAAAATAATTCTCCATGCACATGCTCTCCCTAACGACAGGCCCTGGAGTCCTTGGCATTCAGCCTACTGTTGTCTATCTTTGTCCTCTAACATGGTGTGCCACTGCCTGAGCACGCGCCCCGCAGCCTCCCGGCCGGCCCTCGGGAATCTCCGCTCTGCCCACACCTCCTCCAGCTGCCTGCACCAGGCAGCTGCGTGGGTCTGAGCTCTGTGAAAGCACACACACACACCTCTTCTGTCACTCCTGTCCCCAGGTATGGGACTGGTGTGCTTCCTGGGCCACGGGTAGCCTGAAGGGCAATTCCTTGGGTCAGACTCATCTTTTGCCTTCGAGATGAGCTCAGTGAGCCCCAGCCATGCACCGTTATCTCAGTGGCCACGTTGCCCATGGCCAGTTGTCGATGAGCCCGCCCATCTGCACTAAAAGCTGCCTCCCCTTTCTGGGGACCACTGGTAGGTCTGAGTTAACACAGTCCAACAGCTTGAGGTATCTCTGCATCTGCTGCTCCGTGGTAACCTCTGGATCTTCACGTCAGGAGTGATGTAGGTGTATCTGAGCCTGTCAGGAGGAAGGGGAAAGGACCAGAAACTTTACTTAAAGTTCCTCCCAGCTTTTGATTAGTCTTTTTTGTGTTTCAGAAGATAATGCACTTCAAATTGTACTGATGGGTTCGCAAAAACGCAGCTGCTTCTTGCAATTCCTTTGATCTTATATCATCTGCAAGCATCAACTTCTTCCCTCCTATATTTTTCCAGTATTATCTCTGTGTAATTTATATTTGTTTAGTTAGATAAATACATACAGTTATATTTTCCCGCAGAAAATAAATGAAACACCTTCACATCTATGGAAAAGACTTTTTTTTCTGCCTAGTTTACATAATTTCCTACCATTGGCCTCAAATTTGAGATCAAGATAGTTTTTCATTATTTTTAAACTTATCGCTTATTTAAGTGTTTTTTCTCACATTTATTATTTATCTCAGTTTTATTTAGTCATAAACAGTATTACATTTTCACAGAAAAGTGTCAATGTTAGTATATTTGTGTTCATTTTTTTAGAAACATTTCTACGACTCAGATGTCTTGGATTAATTAGTGGAAATGCTGCTTCATGCAATGTAAATAATCTGCAACTAATCTGTCAGTGACTTCTGGTAAACCATGTTATTCATTCATTTCATTTTAGATCACATTGACAACCATTGGCTATGGAGACAAAACTCCTCTTACTTGGCTTGGAAGGTTGCTTTCTGCAGGATTTGCTCTACTTGGCATTTCTTTCTTTGCACTACCTGCTGTGAGTATGCCTACAAAATTCATAAAAAATAATAGAAACTTCTGTAGGTAGGTCCTGCCACTGTTCTGATACAAAAAGCTGAAGGAAGCTGTCTACATGTAGAACAACTGTTTAAGGCTTTTTGCTCTGCAACAACACTATTGAAGTACTATCCAAAATCCAAAGAAAAGGTTTGGTGTCATTGCTTTAGTTTTGAGAAGTTTCTCTGGCATGGACAAATCTGGGAAATAACCCTAAATTAGGTTATATACTATTGTGTAAAGTTGAAAAACCTTCCTTTTGGTTCGAATTTCAACATATATTACTGCTTCTCTTTCAAATTTTTCAAAACAAAACAAAAATAAAAGCACATTATATGATTTTCTAACTTATAGTGAAAAAATTAAGTATTTCTAATAGCTTGTTTTGTATGGCCATGTGAGAGTAGTAGAAGACCTTAAATCAACTAATACTTAATGTTATTGAATGCAAAAGATGCAACTATCATTTTATGTGAATAATTATAAATAAATATTGCAGTTTATTTAAGCTGTTTCTATCAATGCTCAAGAGGCTAATGGAAATGGGAATTATCTAATGACTGAAATATCATGTAGCTTCAGAAATAAATTCTCATTTTTGTGAGTCAATCTTTTTTTTAATTAGTTTTGAATAACCATGAAATGAGAAGTGGCATTTGTATTTTTTGTATTGTCTCCAGTCAAAATGTCTTTTGATATTTTAATACTCATATACTTTTATCTATAGATCACTATAAACCATGAGTGTTATAATACTTCATTTGTTTTCAACCATATAGATAAACCAAGATTAAAAATCAGCATTTGTCAAAAGCATTAATTCATCTAGTGCACTGCATATATTTCTTACTCTAGCTACAAAGAGTATTTCAGTATCTTTGACATACTATAAGGCATTGTAATTATAACCCATTACCTGTTTGTGAATCCTTGACATTTATTGACATCTACTGTAATTAATTCCTTTTGTCACCTAGTCACCACTAACAAGAAAGCTAGTCTTAGCAGCACTACAATGAAAAAATGAAAACCTTCACATATTAGAGATGCCACAACTTTTGTTCCTCGTGTCATATCTATGTACTGATACTAGTTTTTACTCATAAATACTTCTGTGCTGAATCTGTCTATAAAACAAGAGGTATGTGGGAAACTTTTGCACTTCTTATAGTATTTTATCCTGACCAAGATATCCATGGAAATATTCTTCCTTATAATGAAATATTCTTCCTTACAATGAAATGCTGACATGTCCAGCAAAAGTATTACATTCCTTGCAAGTCAAGAAGGAAAGCATCCTCAGTCCTTGGATCTATTCAGTCAGAATCAAATTTATCTTACTCAAAGGTAAAAGACTTAAAGAAGAGAAGTTTCATAATTAGCTTTTTCATAGCCTCTAGAATGAACAATGGGTATTATTTAACGGAAAAGATCGAGAAGAAATGCATTTTCTAACTTTTCTAAAACTGAAAGTTATAATACTGCAGAAGTGGACTTTGATGTCCATATATATCTGGCATATCTGTCAGCTGGTCATTTCCTCATTCGTGACTCAAGCTCCTCTGAACATCACTGCTTGATTTTATAAATATATATCTATCTCTATGGCCTTGGTAGTTCCAGGAACATAGTGTAGCAGAAACCCAGGCAATGGGTGGGATGGGTAGTCATTGGTAGCACCACAGATGTTATGTAAAGTATCTCCTGCTTCACCAGGAAAAGGGGAATTGCTTCTGTGCCTTCTACTGTCATATACTGGTCATAAATGTGTTATCTGAAGCAACCATATGATGTAACCTCTTCACAAAAATCGTTGTAATTGATGATGTCTATTACTACCCACACATTGATAAAACTATATTGCAGGGCATCCTTGGCTCAGGATTTGCATTGAAAGTGCAGGAACAGCATCGTCAGAAACACTTTGAGAAAAGAAGGAATCCAGCTGCAAGCCTAATTCAGGTAAATAGGAAATCACCAAAAAGATAATCACAGATGATTTAAAGTACACATTGGAACAAGTCTTATTATTTCAGTTTGGAAAGCTTTGTGGAAATAATATTTAACAGATCAGTTAGTTTCATTAAATAACTGTGTTCAGTGACTGCTAAATGTTGCCATAATTCTGTACAGAATCACAGATTCATTTAGGTTCAAAAAGACCTTTAAGATCATAAAGACAAACTATATATAGCATTTCTGAGTGTAGTTTTTGCTCTTCTATCCGTGTGAAAGAAACAGAGGAAAGGATGCCAAATACATGCCTGCAGTCAGAAAGCTATTTGGAAAAAGGGAATTGATCCCTAGACAACCCAACTAATAGCACAGCACTCTTGCCTATATTAAGCTACTTTTCATCTACTACAGGGTTTAGAGTATTTCAGTGAGTGATACACTTGAAGATGAAAAGTGTCCTGCCCAAAGAATTGCTTTCACTATTAGTCAGTTCCAAAGCTGGAAATGTAGGCACTAACAACTTAAAAATGTCTGAAATTGTCTGAAGTTGTTCTGACGTGACGCAAATCAACAAAAAGTGGCATGTTGTGTCTTAGGCAGCTGTTTTGCATTGGCTTTTTACTTAACTTTCAGTCCTAGTTAAAACTGAGAAAATACTCTAAAGAATTATTTTGCACCAAGCTTTACTCTACTTGATGCACTGAAAAAAAAGGGGGGATATATTCTCCTAGAGTCCCAGTTTATTTTCCTGGGATGCCGTGTTCTATGTGTGCCATGTATGCTGGGTTTTGTTTTTGAAATAATAAATCCAAATAAAGAAGCTGAGCATGAATATGCTAGAGTTCCATGCTAAGTACAAATAGATGTCAGACTGTCTTTGAAGCATTCTTAAATATTTTCCATTTTTACTGTTCAATTATTATTAAATCCTAAATATTTCATATTTAATATTTGTTAGAATAATTAGCAAAAATAATTCCACTCCTTTTGTGTCTAGTTTGGAATGACAGTTTGTCATATTTCCTAACACATATATCCTAATCTACTTCTTTCAAGTTTGGTTGCCAGAGGAAACACATAATAGATTTAGGTTTTGGATATAGCTCTTATTATTATTTCAACCAAAATATTAGTAAGACAGTACGCTAAATAGCTTAAGAGAAGCTAGTTGCCTGATTTTGGAGAGTGACTCTCAGTGGGCAAAATCACTGTGAAAGGAAGACATTTGTTGTGGGATCCCATGATGAAGGCTGTTCAGCATTTACATGTTCATTTAGAGGTTCAACACTTTCAGTGGTCCAGAAATTAATATAAAACTGCTGATAGAAATACTTTCTGAAGGCACAAGGCCTGGCAGAATAGGAAATAGGAGAACAGGAACACAGGAATAAAACTAAGGATGATCTGGGTGACTTTTAGGGTGAAAGGATTACTGTCTTATGTTTTAATACAACAAATACAAAACTTGATCTAGAAAGTGAATCCAGATTATTACAAGATGTCTCTATCCCAGTATTAGTGAATCGGGAAAGGGTTTGATGGAGCATGAAAAATACAGAGGAGAAAGACTGGGAAAGAAGGGTCAAAGGCTTCATACAAGTTCCCAGTATGTTACTACACCTGGTTTTGTTAAAGTTCTTAGATACAGAACCATAAACATAACAAGGAGAAGACTGATATTACCACTGTGTAGCAGCAGTAGTGTAGTTGATGCTCATACTAATATGCTATATATCAGCTCAACATCTACAGTTTGTAAGTGAGACTGGAATATTAGAGAAAGCAAATAAAACATGTGAAAAAATGGGTCAAGGACTGAAGAAAATTTCATGTTCATAAATGCAGGATGTGTCTGAATTGCATATCATTGGATACTGTAACAGTGCCCAGGTTTTTTTAAATTGTCTCTAGCTTATCAGGATAATGTCTAGTTTTAACAGTTGTGCTGTAGAATTAATCTGTGCTAACTCATCTGTTGCCACAGATAGACTGTTGCTAGAGCCTTTACCTGGCCTAAAGATAGCTGTAGAATAGTTAAATGCTTTATATGGATATACTTTTCTCAATTTCTTTAGCTTATAAGAAATATTTAGTGTGAGAATTATTTGAACACAGGAGCTCAGAGAGGAAGTCTTCGAACCTACTGGACCATTTAATGTAGCAGACAGAAACATAACAAGTAACTGGCTACAAGCCAAAACCAAAGAGTTTCAAATTAAAAATAATGCAGAAAATTTTGACAACGAGAATGAACAAGCAATGAAGCAATTTTCAAAATGAGTAACAGGTTCTCCATCTGTTAATGAAGACTGGATGTGTTTCTGGGAGATACACAGTAGGAAAACTCAGGGTATTAGATTCCATACAAGAGTACCTAGATGACATTTAATGGTTGACAATATACAGGAAGCACAGATGCTCAGCTAGTACAAATTAATATAGTTATGCTGACATCAGGGAACATGTCCCAGCTTGTAGAACCAAGGCTCATCTTACTATCTACATGCACTATAAATCTAAACAATGGATACATTTTCAATGCTATGCTTTGGTCACTCACCTTTGAATTTATTCATTTTGTGCTTTTAAACATTTAACAGTGTTTCAAACCACAGAAAATGCTTCTCTTTTCTTATAAGTTCTTTTTGTCTGGTTTTCATTATGATTTGCAGAATGTATTATGACACTTTCTTTACGTCAGACTGCAAGTTTGTGTGGTTATCCTCTATGGACTTGTCACAAATAAATCACTGCAATGCTTTTCTACACCTTTATGTGCTGAATATCTTCTGGTGCTTTCACAGAGCCAGTAACTCTTATCTTAGTGCATAAGGTGTACTGGGATTCAAAAAATTTTGGTAGGTTTGTACTGGTATTTCCTGAATCAACCTAACCAAGCACATCCTGGTCTGAGCAAAATCTCCTCACTCCATAGCCAGTGTGGTGGCATTGTCACTTCATTTTCTTGGTTCCTTTGTGCTTTTCTATTGTTTCCCCATACCAGGCTTCCTGGCGGTTTTATTCTACCGACGCCAGCCGAACAAACGTGGCAGCCACATGGCGATATTATGAAAGTATTCTTCCTCCCCTCAGGCATGTATCAGTGCTATGAATGATAAGAGAAAGATATGACTTGTATTGGTTACTAATCTGCTTTTCAATTTTTTGTTTCATCCCCTACTCCCTCCTGCCTTGTTTTTTTCTTTTTTTACCATATATCCTGCACGTAGTGTGTATGGCGTAGTTATGCTGCTGATGAGAAATCGGTTTCTATTGCTACCTGGAAGCCTCATTTGAAGGCCTTGCATACCTGCAGCCCTACAAAGTAGGTACAAATATGGCAGCTGGTGCTGTTTTTGATGTCTGTTCAAGCTTATAGAGAACTAGTATTTGTCTGTTTTGTCTTGGCTTGTTGTCTTAAGTCCTCTCAAGTCTTCTCATTAAAAATTTCAACTAACAAATCAGATCAATATCACGTAGGAGCCCAGGAAGAAATACAAATCATTGCTATTTATCTTAGAAATGCACAGGCATTAGAAACATTTCCCCAACAACCCACTCATGCATCACAGTTAATGATTCACCTCATTCCAAATTATCCTTAAGGAGAAAAATATTAAGTTTCATGCAGAGCTTGTTCCTTGGTTCAGTGGTATGTTTATGCCTGTGCCTGTGGATAAGGCTGTAGCTGCTGATCTACCTTTCCAAAGAAAGAGTGCCTCGTGGTATTTTGCAGGTGAATGCACTGGAGAATTTGCTCCTTTTTGTCATGACTTCTGATATATTCAGTATTTCCTCAGGAGAAACTGTATACGCAGTCATACATACAGACAGTGGAAGATGACTCAAAAGACCTGTTGTCACCATTTGGCAGACAGGAAATTGATATCCTAGTTTGGGTGAGAATTCCCAGAGCACTGGCAGCCCAATACTTTTCAAAAATTCAGTAAAAGGTTTAGCAGAAGGCAGAAAGTTGACTGATTCAATACAGGGCACAGATCAGGAAGTAAAAGACACTTGATAAAGATCAAAAAGGAGAGTGCTAAGAGCCTTATGGGAAAGCTCTGATAAGCATCTTAACTGTTGTTAATTGCAGACAGTGCAAGAGAATTAGTGGTTTCTCTCAAAGCTGGGTGATGAACATCCACATGACAGTAAAAAGGTAATTGTGTGCCAAAAAGCTCAGCCAAAAAGAAGTTTGGCTGGGTATCCAAAGCTGATCTTTGAATTTCAAAGAGTTGACAAGAACAGAGCCGTAAGTAATCCATTACCATAACTGTAATTCCAAACTGCTCCACACTAAAAGGAGCTTTTAGATTAAAAGTTACATGAAGTATTGATATTTTACATATACAAACAGGTTGAAAGCAACATTAGTATAAATGGATGGATAGAAAATTACATAAATAATGAAGCTGTATCCCACATAAAATATTCCAAAACATGAATGTCCCTCAAAAGTGCATCTACTTCTTATTTTAAATAAGCATATTGCTGTGCTATCCTAAAATTGACCCTTTTTATTTACCAGAAATAACTTATCTAATAAGAAACTACAGCTTTCTGTTATGTATGTGTCAGCAATGCATTTTGCCTAAGTGCTTTGCCAACTCAGTCTGCAGTGGTATGTACTAAGCATGTTATGCATGTGTTAAAAAATCTGAAAAGTTTCTTTTCCAGAAGCATTGTAGTTATAAGTCTTGCTTGAATGTTTTTGTGGTTGCAATGTAATGTGTGTGTCGCACACCAATTAACATACCCATTTATGTTTATCATACATATAACATCATCTGTAATTAAGTAATGTGATTACTATCGGCATAACAAGTATGTTTTTCCCTCCCACTCCCTGACCTGAAGAAAAGAACAAGGGGAATCTTCTAGCAGGTTTGTAGTTTCTTTTCTTTCTTTTCTCTGTGAAATTGCTGTTTCCTAATGGCTTTTAGATGTCTTGGGTTCTGTACAGTAGGTTCAATGAACTGCAACAGTTGATGGATAATTATCACAAATTGGAATTTTTAAAACTCATATGCTACTGAAATCTGCTTCTTTGTCACGGTTTTTCTATGGGAAAAATAGGCTATTTATAACACATCTAACATGCTGTAGCTTTGAGGGGCTCAGTTTGAACAGTGGCAGAGCAGCCAATGGACCAGCCTTCCCAGACCCAGCTCCTGGGCAAGGACATGGCCCCAGCTTCTGACATAAAATCGATGCAGGAATTGCAGTGGAAGTTACAGACATAGTTTAATTTGGTGATGTGAAGAAGCCCACCAGCCCTCCATTGCAGGGAGGACCCTTTGATGGGGCTAGTTGGATGTCACCTTTGCCCTGCAGGAGCATCCTCAAGGCTTCCTCAGTGCCATGTATCCACATGTTCTAACTTTTCTGTTATCCCATCCTAAGGAGCCAGACTGTATCTCTGCTGAAGAAGGTGCCCCTGCTGTCAGCCGGGAGCACAGGTGGGCTTTCACCCAGCCGAGATCCCGGCTGAGCACCGACTGCCTACAGCTGGCAGCGGTGAGCCTTGGCAGGGCTATCCTGTCTGGGTAAATAAAGCTCTCCTAAGGCAGTGGGAGAAAATGCTGCTTTGCTGTACTGATAGCCCAAATCCTTAGGGACAGGAAAGGCCTCAGTGGCTATAAGAGAAATTATCTCAGAAACTCGTTAGGGATGGGAATCAGCAGGTGTCTGGCAGCTGGCACTGCAGTATCAGCACACTCAAACAATAGCAGACTTTACCTCCCAGCACAAAATGCTGAAAAGCCAAGGAAAAAAAGTGTTGATGACACATCAGCCCCTGAAATACATCCATCCCCAAGTTGTACTGTGGTTCACAAATGCTTCTGGGTTATTCAGTCAGGGATGAAAATCTTCACATCAATTACCCATGTCCCATTCCACTTCTCAGACTGCTCCTCTGGCACCTGACTCCAACATTTTCCTGCAAGCACATCTAACTGCTGTTAGTGTCACTGTAACTCAAGGGGACAGGATTTGCTCTGGCAGTTCTGGGACTTTTTGTATACATTACCTCCACAGGCTTGCTAGCAACATATTGATCTCATTAAATTATTACAGTCTGATCCAAACTTCTTGCACTCACCAGCTGTATTTCCTAGTCTTTTGACAGCAGCATTTAAAATTGACTTTTTTAAAGGTGACACACAAATTGCTAGTAAATAAGTACATCCCTCTAAAACTGGGATTTGTGCAGAGGAGAGAGGTTATTCCCAGTTGTACCTGCAAGCACTAAAGGACACAAATTTACTTGCAATAACCGGAAACTAGATGAAAAAAAAAACCAAACCCAAACACTCAGCTGTGAAAACCATGTTATGTTCTCCATATTAGTGATAACAGTTGTGGCTTTAGAAGAAGTCAACAATTTAGCCAGATTTATTTACTTTATTTTCACTGAATGGAATATATTTGCTCCTTCAGAATCACTTAACTAATATGTGCACTGCTGCAAATTTGTGTATATGTAAAAATGAACTAGTTAACTTCTGAGATCATATTCTACAGCAAAAACCCGACAGACCACTCAGTGCCTTTTAAAAAAAGGTGTGTTTTGCCAGTGGCTGTTTATTGCTTTTATGCTGATATATCACCGTATGTTTGTATCACCTAAAATACATGTGGTGTATGTGGTCTTTTGTGGCAAAGATGTAAATGAGAACTGCTGCAATGTACTCTGAGATAACTGTCCTTGAGTATTTAACTTGTTTCTTACTGTGATGCTAAGTGACTTGCATGGGATGCTATGTGAACTAAGAAAGCTTCTTCTTGTTTCACTCTTTAAATGAAGACATGTTTGCACAAGTAGTACATTGGATTGCATTCTGAACATGCTCTTTGTTCTATATTCCCTTCTAATAATAGTGAAGAAAAGCTTGTATTGTGTTAGGGAAAAGTTCATTACCTTCTTTCCTACCAGATTTATTTATATTTACAGAAATTAATTCTTGCGTTTGGTAATGTATAGACCTACAGTCTTTCATTAGGTGACTAAATGTTGCTATGCATTTGAGAGAGCTGTGCTTATGAGGCTGTAGCTTCAGATTGATTTTATTAAAAATATGTATGTTGTATTTCCCAAAATTTTACACATAAGTATTCTAATTAATCATTTTTCAAGGAGAAATACCTACAAAGATGTAGACAACCTCTCTGGTGTATCCAGGCTATAAATGAGATATTTCCATAAATCAGTTCCAGAGTTGTGCAAGTTATTTTAAAAGCCTATATGTTAAATTCTTAATACCTACAAATGCACACACCAAAAACAAAGAGTATTTATTTCTGTTCAGTTATACAACATGGCTGAAATAGTTCCTGTGCTGGAAACTAGATCAAGACTGATGAATCTTGTGACATAGAGAGAGCATAATCAGTCTTAAACTGTGTGTAGGACATGCACTGGGTGTCTGCAAAGGATGAATGTCACCCATCCAGTCTTGTAACTCATGAGGCTGAATATGCATTCCCTATTCTGACAATTCTCTCTGGTGCAATAAGGAACAGTTTTGCCAGTATAAGATCTTCGGGAAAAACTCAGCCCTGTTCTGAGGGAAACAAGTGAATTATATTATGGAGTTCTTTCACCTCCTATACTATATCTGTTTCTAAAAGTAGATTTAATGTAAACACTCTGCATGCACCATATAAAAAAGAAATTGCCAATTATGCATAATCTAACTTGAGGTGGAAAACCTAACCCCTTATCTAGCCCTGGAATGCTTAGTAACAGAGTCCTCTATCTCCCCTCACTCCTAGTAAGCTTTGTAGTAATAAACAGAAGCTCTTCAGGATGTACATCCCTCGGAAACATAGGTATTCAGCATCCTGCCTATTCACATGATGTTTGAGAATGCCAACTAACATCAGGTGCATGATTCATTCACTTCCCCTCCTTAGTGCTTTAAAATTCCTTACTTCTCCAAGTGATAATTCCTACTTATTTTTAAGTGCTTGTAAGTCCCTTTTTGCTTACTGCCTGCAATGCCATTAACACAATGGCAGCAACACCAGTGGTTTCAAACTCATCCAGCCAGACAATTGCAGTGTGCAGCACGCCGCGGTTTTAAGAAGCCCCATTCCCCTTCTCTGCCTGAGACTTCAACTTTTGGAATGCATTACCCTATGGAAGTCTAAAATTGGGGTTGAATATTTGGGTAAAGCCATTTCCCCAAGTCCAAGAGGATTTTTATAACCATGGCAGTTGATTTCTCCATCTAATAATTAGTGGAGAATATTAAGCCATAACATGGTAGGCAATTACAACAGTCAAAATGTGCAATTGTTCTTGAGAAGAATCCCCTTGGACACAGCTTGTGGATGATGTGCCTGCATCCTGTACTGGAAGGTAGAGGAATGCATGTGAAATCAAGCATCTGCTTCAGCTGAATTCTGTGGAAATTGTGTCTCTTACCAAAAATGGTAATTCCTAGATAAATGAATCTTACGGGAAGAAGCCTGTGATTCATATCTCAAGCTGATTGCATTTTTTCTTACTTATTAAAAATAATGTAAAAGACAGTAGAAGTACAAACTAATTACAGAAAATAAGGATCAAAATAGCTTCTCTTCATTTAGAAATCATTTTGGAAAAAGAAAGAACACACAAACACCCTGAATATTTACTCTTTCTGTTTGACAATTGAAGTATAATGGACTGTGACCTGAAATTCTTGTTACTACTTATTGAAGGTATGAGATATAGCACTAAATTTCTTGAGTTCATGGTCCTAGCATGAGACTGGTGGCAAAGTCTTGAATGTTTGAACTTTATGTCTCACAGAATTATCCGTTGTATTTGCATTTGTTCAACTTAGCTTAATTTCAGTAAAAGTATTTGTAGGCTCAGTAAGAACCAACACCTGTATTTATGATAGTTAACTGCTGAAAATTGGCATGTGCATCTCCTTGCTGTTGTTTACCATACGAGATAATTTCTGCCAGTTTTAGCTTCTGTCACAAGACTCAAATCATTCTTCCTCACTCTCAGACTCTCCAGTTATTTCTGATTCATTTCAATTTCTTCCTAGTCTTTCTTCCACCAATTGGCTCAGTATGAAAAGCTGAAAAACAAGGTGTAAATTGTGGCCAGTAGCAAGCAGTAATGCTGCAGGTCTGAGGCTGAGGCAGAGCAGAAGTTTATCTTGACCAGAAACGTAGGAAGGTGACATGAAAATGGGGGCGTGGGACTGGGATGGAAAGAGATGCTCAGTTAATAAAATATAGGGAGATGGTCCGTGGAAGACAAAGCGATCAGAGCTTTATATGCGTTTGTCAGTTAAAACAAACTCACCCAGAGTAGTCATTTAGACCAGCAGAAAAGTGATCATTCGCTCTGCAGTGAAGCTACAGTGACCTCTAGTGTCTCTACACACCTATTCCTTCATAAATCAAAGGTGGCAAAGGCAGAATTTGAAAACGAAGAAATAAAAAATAGAAAGTCATTTGCTATCCTAGGGAAGTGAGCGTCTTGGGCATGCAATGAGAGGAATGAGTCATAAGATCCTACAACTGACCTTTCAGAAGGCAGACAAATACAGAAAAGTATTTTGCTTCCCTTTCTACAGCTGCCAGTTGTAATTGATCTCCACTGAAAGATACTTCAAAGTTGGAGTGTTATCAATAAGAATACATTCCACAGCTTTCAACCTGCAAGAATAGAGGAGTGATAGGTCCAAAGAGACCAGGCCAGGGAAGACTGTCATAGGAAGCAAAAATGTATGTCAGCCAGTTGGGCTAAATTATCAGTCATATAAACTACAAAAAATTATTGACAAACATACATCTAAAGGAATGTAGCTGTGGATGTCTCAGATCATTGTCATTTATTTTTGATTTAGTAACTTGTGCAATTTTATTTTCCTGTTTCTTTTTCATGGTTTTTGCCTTTTGGACAAACACCCAACTTAAAGTTTGTGAATACTTACGCAGATGCATGAATATCCAATGGTCATTAACAGATTTACATTGATTCAAGGGATTTATTTGGATACCATGTAAAAAGAGAGAAGAAAAGGTGAAAGAGAAATATATAATAGGCCAGGATTTGCAAGATTTGAAGGATTTTTAGCACGCACAAGGCAGTGCTGATACAACCAGCGTTAAATCAGAATAAAGGGCCCTAAAGGAGTCAGTGGCTATTGATTTGAACGCAGAATGTCCAAAGATGCTTGAATGGTGTAAGATTAGCTTAGCTCAGTAATTTTAACACCATCTCTACTGCTATTGCAACAAGGAATCCAGAACCAGGAGCTAGGCTTTATCCTATAAGGAAAGGGACTTTCACTTTGAGGAAAATCCTGGTAAGGGTACACTCAAAGTGCTCTGATTCAGTTACTCCTTCGTGATCTGTTATTTATCATACATAGAAGAGCACCATGATAGTGTGTTCCCAAGCACAAGCTTTCTTCTCCCAACCTTTCTCCTCCACTGTCAGTCACACAATTTATGCCTATGCTGAGAAGGACCCAGTGGCTTCAGGAACATTTCCCACCAGTCTCAAACTAGGACCAGGGATCCAAGAAGTGAAGAACTGCTATAACTAGTCTCTTTGGGTATGCATCTCAAGATGCAAAAGAAAGTTTTCAAACTGCTTCCTTCGGGGGCTGTGTTTCTCTTCACCATGTGGCACCCTCTGCATGGACCCTTGGCATGCCAGTGCATTGTCATTGCTACAAAGCAGATTTGATTTGATTTTTAAAGTATAAGTGCTGCAGTTTACATTAATATTTTCATCCTCAGCATTGCACTTTCGAAAAATGTCTATAGCACAGAAAAAAATGCCTACTGTTCCTTTCACCATTACCTCACTGCTTTGGAGAGCTAAAGATATTCAGGTTAAGTAGTCATTGTGTGTCATTCAGCTTTTATAAATGAAATAACCATGTCTATCAATCATTTAAAGATAGCCAGTGCTTTCATTAGTACAAATTAATTGACAGAACAACATGTGCTGTTTTGACTTTGGTTTTAAATTTTCATTTTTATTTTGGAGTTAATGTGATTATAAAAAAATATTATTTATATAGATAGTTTTTTATGGCTATTTTATCAATTTTCCTTTCATTTTTATTAGTTCAGCAGGAAGAGAGCTGTCCAGAAACTTTTTAATGCTGATATTTGAGGAAAAAAAAAGCAGTTTCATTTGACTTCATTTTTCAATACCAAGTACAGTTTGAGCCATAAGGGGAGTTAATAAAAAGGGGGACACTTGTAGGAATAATAACTATAATAAGAAGTCACTTTTGATTCTTTTCCTCATTCTGTATAATATAACAATGCACTAATGTGATTAATAAATATTTTATAGTTTATATTTTCATTGTTGTACAGTGCAAAAGATTCCTGAGCTGAAATAGAATTCAGTCTTAAAATGTAATTTGTATTCAAAGTTAAATTTTGGAACTCACTTTTCTTTCAAATACCAGGTTCTCTGGGTCTTTTGTATTGCTTATGCCACAGCACTGGGTAACAATTTACAATGGAAATAGATAACATTTTCATCGCTGTGATGTATTTATTTCAACAATTGCTTATTTGGACAAGGAAAGGGGATTACACTGAGAAATTATCATAAAGGTATTCTTTCAAGTAATCCAACATGCCATATGGAAATACATTTATCTAATAATCTTTCTATTGATGTGCTCATTTTTTAGTATTCTTGAAAATTATCGCATTATAAGCATCCCAGCATGTGTGTTGCCTGCAACAAACTGCATCCTTTCTGCTCTTAGTGATGTTTGTATTCAGACTGAAATGCTATGCTTTGCTATGCATGGACAAAGATATATTTATCTCAACATTTCACAGCCACAGAGGTTTATAACTACTTTCTATTTCATATAATTTCATATTAACACTGTATTTTCAGAATGCAGGAGGTTAAACATCCAAGAACCTCATAGTCCATATTAGCTTTAGTTAATTATCTGCAGGATTTGTTTCTGTTCAAAAGGTCTTATGGGCATGCTGAAATTAAATCCAAAGACCTTGAGAGTACTAGAAAGTGTCTTCAAGAACCACCAGAATTTTCAGGTAGACAGTCTTTGCTAAAGGTGTTATAAAAGCCCCCTCCCCAAGCCTACATCAGGGCAGTAGGACTGCAAGTCCCAGTAACACCACACCATGAACAGACACTGCATTGACCTCATCATCTCTCCCCTTGAATGAACAGGACCACTGATCAAGGTGACCATGCCCTTGCTCAACTAATTGAATTTAACCTTGCATATAAAACAAGGTTCCCAGACCTTGGTGTCAGACTCCTTCTCTGTTTCCCCTTTGTGTCTTCTGCTACAGGAAGGGACAAACAAAGGCAAAAATGTTAAATAATGAAAAAGCATAGACAAATAGTCACAGTGACCACAGGATTTGGGCAAAGGTAATTTAAGCACTGGGAAATAGAAAATCTACAAATCCCACATTTGGCTGGCTGGAGGGGAGGATTACAGGCATAACAGGGGAAAAAAAACCCCTTACAATTAGTCAACCATACGACTACAGGGCCATCACTGATGCAGCAGACACAGTCATGAGCTTGGCTGGGCTCTTCTACCTGTCCAGTACCACGTGCACATAGTCAGCTCCTAGCTTCATCTTCAGCAATGACTTTAGACAGCACACAGCATATCATTACATTTCCATTAGTCAGTCATCATGCTGTTTCTTGGATATTTTATTAATTTTGGTTTTGTTTTGTCCAAGTAAATGCTCAAACAAGGAATTCTGGATATGAGTGATCACTAATCATGCATATGAAATGTTGGAAGTGCCAAATCCTGAAAAAGCATGAATATACACTAACAGTATTTTTGCCTGCTTAAAAGAAACCAAACCAGACAATACTACATGGCATGCAGTAACAATAAAATACATTTTGGTTTTGTTTATCTGAAGATATGGCCAGAAATGCACTGAGCTTGGCTGACTAAGATGGAAACAAACCTATTTCAAGTTCAAGGAATAGAAAAAACATCATAGAGATTAATGTATAATAATTGGGTGAAATTGTTTCTATTTTTATTTTTAATTTCCTTTAGAAGGTTATTCTGTACTGTATGATAGACTGCCAATGCTAATGCTTCTATCAAAAAACAATTATATCAGATCAGTTCCATTCACAAATGAAATATATTAAATGAAAATAAAATTGTGTAAGAAACAGATTCATACCAGTGAGATTTTTACACATTATTTTTAATAATCATACAATAGAAAAAATAAATGGATTTAAGTAACTATGAAATAAAATATATTTCTCTGTCTCACAGTCAAAAGCTAAGTTTTAAGGAGCGTGTCCGGATGGCCAGCCCACGAGGTCAAAGCATTAAAAACAGGCAATCTTCAGTCGGAGATCGCCGGTCACCAAGTGCTGACATTGCCACCGAAGGCAGCCCAACCAAAGTGCAGAAGAGCTGGAGCTTCAATGACCGAACCCGCTTCAGGCCCTCGCTGCGGCTGAAGAGCTCCCAGCCCAAACCCATGGTCGATGGTAGGAGTTTTTCACCCTTTGTTTGCCACTACGTGCTGCTCCCAGCCTGCTCACACTTCTGCAGGCTTGCACAGTGATTGTACACATTTTAGGAAGGTAGAAAGAATTGCACTTTGGGGCCAGAGATACAAGCCAGCAATAGACTGCTTCAAAGAGCCCAATAATATTATTATATTTTTAATAACAAATCATGTCAGTGGTGCATAGGGAGCAACTGGTGGGAAAGGGTCACTATGAAAAATCACAGTGGACTAAATGCATCCCCAGGGTTTGGCTGCAGCAGTTCCTCTGTCATGGCCCCTCTCCCACTACTGAGCTCAGCTGTTGTCCAAAGTTGCTGCCTCTTGCTGGTGGTCCACACAGCACAGCCAGCACTGTCTGTGCCTTTGGCAGCCAAGAGCACAGCTTGTGCAGAACTGGCTCCCTCAGGCAGAGTCCCAGTACCTGCACTGGCCATGCAATCACCTGACACCAAGGGATACACTACTGGGTGCTTTAACAGGGTTTTCTTGATAAGGCAGATAGATTTAGCAAGTAAAAATAGTGTTATTGCTTTTATGTATTGTTTTCTATAGGGTATTTTGGATGTAGGAAGCACTCCTAAAATGTAAAGAGGTGGATCTAGGTGAAAACAGCTTGTTGAACCTGCAGCAGGCAGCCCAGCCTTTACCTCAAGCTGCCTCCTGTGCTAGTCCATTCTCTAGATAAAGTCCAATTTGTCATTAAATTAACCAGTATTCAGGCAAGGATCTTCATCTGACAAAGCTTGCCAAAACAAAGACTGTCTCTAACCATGGAGCACCAAACTGGGTGACAGCAGCCTCCCAACAGGAGGGAGCTGAGAGAACCGGGTGAAACTGACCCCTGTATGGGACGGGTCCAGGACTAAAAGGTGCACTCATATAGCTCTGGGGGTACTGCTGCCCCAGTGGATTTTGTTTTGGGTCTCTCCATTCCAGTATTTACCAATCTATTAATGTTTTGCTCTTTCTTGTGGTATCGTCCATGTAAAAAACAAGAGAAACAAACTGGTTGACTACCACAGAATGCAGTGACCCTGCCTGAATGGGAAAGGTACAACCTCTTTCTACAATGGCAATCATGCATGCTACATACAACAATTGTGGTAAGACTAATTAGACAGAAGTGCGACATTGATGTTGCTTCCTTTTTAAGAGCACATATTATCACAAACATGTAGGTTGCAAAATACTCATTGAACTGCAATGCCCCATCCCTCAGTGAGGTTGTTCTACACAACAGATCTCTTCAGGAAAAGCCTGGGTAAATAAACATTTCCTGGAGGGCAACCAAGACAAACCAACGGCATTTGCTAAGGTCATCATCCCAGGCTAGTCCTCCCCCATGGAGATGTCTCAAATGCATAAATTCGGAATTTGCCTGTGACACAGGGATCTGCTGGGGTATATCAGCTACTAGGATACAATCCAGGTTGCTCCACTCCACTATCCACTGCTATCCATTCCTATCTCCATCCTGGGGCACTGTCCCTGACTTATGTCCCATGGTAGCTGTATCAGAGGGGCTGTGTGACCTTGCCTGAGTTTCACTCTGACGTGAAGGACACAGACAAGGCCACAATGGGAACTGACAAATGTTCTAGGTAGCACAGTGGTTGAAGCTACCCTGTCTAAACTTAGGCATCCTACTGATGCCTTGGGTTTTAGCTTTTATATATTTCAGATTCTCTGCTGCCTGCTATGTAACTCTGAAACTTCATATTAGATGTTAGTAATTTCTTATCGCAGAGTAGTTAGACAAAAAAATCCCTTCCTAGCTTGAGAATCAAGGACAACTAGTATCCAAAAGGCATAAACAGCAGTGAAGGGAAGAGGGGAAGCCACAGGGTTGAGACTTCATGACCTGGAGCTGTAATTGGACAATTGACCCCAATATGTAGATGAACCGAAACTTATAAAAGTGTAAAAACTCATGACCAGGATCCATCTTGGATCCATCCTGGGTGTAGCCCTGGCCAGGCTCTTGTACTGCTCAAGATGTATCCTTTTAAGGCCTTTCAGTAAATACCTATTTTGTTCATTTAACTCTGTCTAGTCTCTGTTCCAGGTCAGCCTCTCTAGGCATCACTACATTATCACTTATAAAGCACAAGTATCTTTCCCAAACTGCGTCAGAAGTAATTTCATAGGTTAAACCCCTATAACTCACACTGTGCCTGGAAGTGACCTAAGAAGAAAGTAATTTTTTAAGCACTCTCTCAGAGTATCAGTGGCTCACTTTTGCCCCAGCTCTGCAGTCTTCACCTTACTGAAGCACCTGTTTCATTTTTCATCAGCCTATTCATCATAGAAGTATTTCCCCCTATTTTGTCCTGTACATATCATCATCAATAACAACGAAGTGCACAAGCAGATCGTGCAGCCTCTGATTGTTTCCCTCTCACGGAAAAGGTGGCATAAACAGCACCTTGGGTATATCAGTAGATAAAAGACAGTAACAACAACAGAGTGCTCGTTGCTGTGCGTAAACCCTTGAAGATCTTCCCGCTCCTCAGGGTGAGCACAGCCTGTTTCCTGGTCAGTGATTTCCAGCTACCAGTCCACCCTTATGAACTGGGGCCAACAGATACAACCAATTTTTCATCTGTGGCAGAAGGAACAGCTTCCATTGTCTCTAGCTTTTAGGCAAATGCCAAGTTTCCATTCTGGGACCTCATCCAACTACTTCTAGGACCAGTATGATTAGAGAGATGTCCAGTGTACTCACTGCTGAGAGACAGCTCCCTGCTGCCTTACCCAAACTTTTGCAGGAAAAGTTGGGCACTACTAACCTTGATTTCTTTTTCTTTCTTTTTTTTCATAGCTTAATGCTTTCTGCATTTGACAACTCAGTGAAAAAGATCTCAAGATGATGTATTTAATTTAGAACATCTTGCATTGTTCACTGGATGAAAAAAAACAGTATTTGCAGCACATTATTCTTATCTTTTGCTTGCCAGATCCTCCAATTTCCTCCTTGAGGTATTCCTCAGCCAAATAATTAATAACTTTGGCAGGCCAATCATCAAGTGAAAGCTAGAAGCCAAATTTTTCTGGGTGAAATCTTGGGCACAAAACAGTACCCTTGAACAGCTGGTCTTTCTGGTGATTCCCATATCTCTGTAGGGTGTTTGGTGGGAGAAGAAATTACATTACAAGAGACCTTTGGGGCAGTGACAACACAGTGCTGGATACCCAGTTTAGTCAAAAGTTCGTATCAGTGAAAAAAATAGAGTCTTACTATGAATTTGCTCTTCCAAAATAGAAGACAGAAGACATTTCACTGTATAGGATGTGGACTTGTAAATGTTCTGCATAGGCAGAGGACTGAATTCTGTGTGAAAATAAAGAAAGGAGGCAAATATATAAGGAGAGGGCTCCCAGAGGAAGGAAAATTGTTAACATGTGAGGATGATTTAAGGCAGATAGATGGTCAATACAGAGACATTGCACTGCTGACTGAGTTCTAGTAAAGACATGGCTGGAATCTGGGCCAAAACTATCAGAAAGAGGCTGGAAAAACTCGACATTAACAATTAGAAACTGGCCTGCAAAGGGAGGTTTCTAGTCCAGACAAGAGCTCATGGGGGTAGCCAAAAGGCTAACCAGATTGAAAATGTAGTCGTTTGCCTCTTAGGCTATCCAGCAACAAACACTCTAGCACTCCCCTACTGTGTATTAAAATCACAGAAGGAGAATTTCTTGGCAGCAACTAAAATACTTAAGCCAGCCATAGGTATCTCCCAAAAGGATTTTGGCATAGCAGCCTTAAAACAATATGACCAAAACCATTGCACAAATGTCTTTACTTATAGTTAGTAACAATCTTCTGAAACTGCCTATAAACCATTTATTGCCATTGACAAAGTGGGTCTGACAACGGCAGTAATTATTTCAGTTACATATGTGCATTTGCCAATGGAATCCAAACCCGAGAGAGGTTTGATGGTTAGAGAAGCCTTTGGTGGCCTGACTGGAGATGCTTTCTAGGGCATTTAGCAATGGCACAGGGGAGTAAAAGTGAATATCAAGGCTTACATAATGTGATTTTAAATACCTGTGTAGTCTCCGGTGACATGTGGTTCACAACTTCCAGAAGTGTTGTTGAAGACAGGACTGTGCACAAATTAACAAAGGTGCCAGAATGCTGTATTTCCAATCCCTGTTATCTGCCTAAAAAGGAATTATCAGGATGAGGCAGATAAAAGGGAAATTTTCACCAGTCAAGAATGGTAAATAGTGAAGCTTTACAAAGTACACACCTAAAAAGGATTATATAGGGTCATGGAAGAGCCTTCCCCAAAGGGATGCCATGTCACACAGGTAAAGGTGCTGTCTGACCTTGGAGCCACCCACAACCCCCTCTGCACCCGTACATAAAGTGAGCCAGGAGCTACCTCTGGCCCCAAGGCCTCCCCATGCAGTATGGCTTAGGTCCTTGTTAACAAAAACAGGGAAGCTGCAGCCAAACTGATTGTGGGGAGTGGTGCCCAGAACATGAGAATACCCACCAGCAGGGCCAACCCCATGGCAGAGTCTGTGTTAGTTATTAAATAGTACAGGTGATTGCATACCTTGCTTAAGGCACTGTGCCTGTGCCTCCCTGTATGTTTTGTGTCCATCCACAGAGACTCAACCACACAAAATCTCATCTTTACAATGGTGTTCCTGTCCTGTTTTGTTTTCTGCTTACCTTACTTTCTGAGGAACAGAACCTTTTCTGCTTAAATCATGCTCCAGTCTTGTACCACCACAGCTGAATTAATGAACTAATATTACGTTGTGGATGCAGTTTTCTGTGAGGGACAAAAATACCCTATTATATTTGTATTTTACCATCTCATGCTCTGAAATGAGTTATTGTGCCTTTACTGTAACCTAGAGACATTGTGTGGCTTTTTGAATAAAACATCAAAAGCATCCAGCACTGGCAATATTACAAACATATTTCATTTGATTAATTAAAAAGAAGTCTCTAGG